TAATGTCCTTGTTCGACAATCAAGGTCAGAGGCGTCATATGTTTAAATCTTTTAATAGGTTCTTATGAAATCTTAAGATTACAAGTGTTAGATTAATAACAGGTGAGCGATGCAGGCCCATTGGGCCTCTTGTTTATGTTTCATGTTATTTTGATACATAAGTCTATTTAATTATGAATTGGACATTAATTAACCCAATGCTTGTATATACGTTTCTATAAGTCTTCAAAGACAAGGAAATAACAGTATAATAATACATGGAATATGTTCGGGCGTGTAGCCCGCTATTAAACTTGTGAATGGTAGTAATGGGACTAAACCCGGGCTTATATATCTAATATAATCACGTGGACTAAATGAATTGGCGTCTATGCGCGTGACTAGTACTAACATGTCACGTGATCTACATCAGTGTCCGAGAGATATACACTATTATACATACGAGATATCATTTCGATTTGATGTCCAAAATTTAAATTGCTTGCAACAGTCAGATATATATTTTAGTTTGAATACATTTGTTACGATGGATTTACCTAAAAGGATCCACAGCTTGCACCTTGCCTGCTTTCAGTGCGCATTTATAGTCGATATGAATGCCAATCGGAAGTTGGCAACTTCCACGATGCGTACGCGCGCTATCGCTTCCCGTTGGATTTTGCCATGTTCCATTTGGCATTCATATTGGCCATAAATGACAATTGAAAGCTGTTTAATACTTACATTTTCGATTTTATAGATATACCATAGATATTTTTTTAATCAAAGTTAAGCATTTAACTCAAATAAATGTATACTTCTTGTATGTTTGTTTAATGAATAGAACAAGCAGCCTCCAGGGACATCATACTTACGACGTCACCATCTGGGTGCTGGCATTCATACCTGATATAAATGTCATCTGATGGCAAATATTAGGCCTATGAGTCGTCTTACAAAAATAAGAGTTATTCATTAATACATAAAGAATGGACCACATGGACCTGTGAATTTGTTACAGCTGTAGTTGGACCTAAGAGTAATCGAATTGTGATGAAATGCCACCCCAGTGTTTCTATATACGAGAAGGAAAAGTCGACCCCACCTAACTTTCTTGCAACAAAAACAACATTTCTAGTTGATGTACTAAAAAATATTAGTACCGTTGGAAAAGATAAAATTTCTTTTAAAAACTTCCCATAAAATGTGTTCCCCCTCCGTGGACATAATCTCCGTTTACTCCAGGGACACACGACATTTCCGAGTTTCACGCAGTTTTTCGCAGTCATAGAGGCACTTGTTGTATACTCATGAGGTTGACGTCATCCAGTGCCGAAACATGTAGTGTTGGTTGGAAATTTTAGGGAAAAAACTATCTATGCTTCCAGCCAATCACACCACGGATCTCGGTACGTGGCCACCTCATAAATATCTATGACTGCGAAACTAGGAAATGGCGTGTTTTTGGAGGAAACGGAGACGGGAGCATTGGGGTGTCATTTTACCGAAAGTCGACCGAAACCCCTAAAACATGTAAATACTATTAACACCTTAGTTTAGGTCCAAATATAGCTGTAACAATTTCTCTGGTCCCTGTGGGATAGACTACTCTGCCTTTCCTCTGTAACCCGGTTCTATCCTGGTAGTGAAACGGACGTAAAATCAATCAATCAATCATGTGATGGCTTATATAGCAGCTTTGTCATTGATTGGATAATACATCGATCTATAAAAATATCAAAGTCAATCTTCTAAATGACCATATCTGTTGATAGGACGTTAAACAATACTAAACCAAACCAAACCAAACCCCACAGCCAAAATCGGAACATCTTAGTTAAGGATATACGCTACTTTTGTGTGGATTGCACCTCTCATTCCAAAGGGCTCCGCACTACTGTAAACTGCATTTTTACTTGTAATTCAAACTCCGTAATATATTTACACGCCACATTTAAAGTGTACACAATGTAACAATAATAACTTAGGTGTCGATAATTCTGTCCGAAACTCTCGCTCATAATTAAGTCCTGTCTTTGTTCATTACAATATATATCATAGAAATGCGTAAGCTTTGTGTTAGTAAATTAGATTTTGATATTTTAATCAGATAACAAGTACTTTCCCCGGCCTTCGCCATCCAAACCTCCCCACTACCCCTCCCTCCCCCGCATCGCTCATAGAATGGACATCATACGGATACCCTATCGATCCGGCACTTATCGGGCCAGAACTAGTAAGCAAACATCAGTTTATTTACTTTGAACACCTTCAATATATTTACTTAGAACACCTAGGGCTTTTAATGAACACGCGCTATTTGAACATGTCTACCTGTAATTAGACTACCTGTAATGAACCAGAGGCCGATATAGTGTTATTAATTGGTCCCCAACCACGGCCCAATGAACATTGACAGGTGGACGTAAGGAACTCTTTGGTGAATGGAGATTTCACCAATCTTAGCAACGTGGATTATGGGCCTTGTTTCCAAGGCCGCTTTACCTGGCCAGGGAGTATTACACCACTATAAATACATGGCCGGTCGGTCAATGGGGATATAGTAAGCTGTATCGGGCTCCTCAATCAACGACTTCATCCCCTTTACGTCGACCCGGGGGACCTGGCAAACCCCAGGGGACATATCCACCCACTGTCAGGTAAGTCACACCCCGGAATAGCCACCCCCGGGCAACTGGGGTTTAAAGTTTTCAAAGTTTGACTCAAGTTCTCTAAAAGTGTATTTTAAAGCTCACACGTATTTTTAACATGCTTGTAGTGTTTGTATGTATTTCTGAAAATGTGGTTTAAACTCGGAGAAAGTTTATGAATTTAGTGACCGAGTTTGTGCGGGCAGGTGCTATATGTGTCCTTATATATGTGTCGCGTCACTGTCTACAGAGCTTTGTGTTAAATCGTCACGCGTCGTAATCAGGGCTTACCCTACATTTAAATACACATATATCACGTATACAATTGTATCTATAAACATTGGCACTCACCGCCGATATCTCCTACAGGGTGGGTTCTATTTTTATTTCTCCAAACCCAATTAAAAAAGTGTATTACAGTTTTGTAAAAGAGTATAGACATATATGATAATGAGGCTAAAATACTTAAAGAAAGCAATATAATTAAATGTAATATATGTATATAAGATTTTTTTTTTAAAGATTAATTCAAGGCCGATGTACACACGTATATACCATAAATATACCTAGTAATGTTCTAGTTAAGACTATGTGCACGTATATACCATAAATATACATAGTAATGTTCTAGGTAAGACTATGTGCACGTATATCTAACAATTTATTGGTTTTGCGCAAATTGAACTATCAACATATACTCATGCATATGGTTATTGAAAAGTAAATTAACAATATTACGAGTACGGTGGCACAGATTGGCCAATTCAACGTCAGTTTTGTAACCTCTGACTTTCTAGTGCTGAATATAACTTTTGTTTTACAATAAAAAAAGTCAACCTAATTTATTTTTGTCGATAAACGCGCGCGCGGCAAGACTGTCTAAGATTTAGCGGTTTGCAGGTTTGTTTTCCTGTATTACAAGGTGTCAAAATCGGTTATATTTTAAAAACAAAAGAGCCGGAATAAGTGTGTAATTACTAATAATACGGTTTAGTGTTTGTACTCGTACTGTGTACGTTAATGAATATTTTAGTTAGATTGGCACCAAAGTGATGGCTGAGTTAGTATTTTCTAAAAATTCTATCACCGGTATTTGACAAATTAACTGAATCCACTCCGGAGCTGCTAGTTCTGCTTCCGTATAAATAGCAGGTTTGCTGTCTAGTTTTGAAGTACACATAATACAGTATCGCTGGCCGCGCATAACAAAAATGCCAGGGCGAACACAGAGACGTCATAAGTCACTACTAAAACATCTTCAGGCAAAAGACAAGGGCCGTAACGACAAGATCATCGTGGGCCTCGTCGTCAACATAAAACACGTAATATATATTGTAAGTTATACTTACACTAAGTGATAAATACACCAACAGTCTAAAACAGTATCATTATAGTATACATTGAACTGCTCATGATCTAAACAATTAGTCTTTAATGCTTTGTGAGACCTCAGTTCTATAGGCCGGACTTATTGACTATCTCCTTTTGAAATGTTTGGATCTCCGCCTCATTGATTTGTTAAAGGTGATAGTTATTTAGGACTAAAGTTATAATGCCTTGTAACGTACGTGACTAATCTAGTGACGAATGGTTGACACGCGTAAGATGTTCTGTTTCTCGTCGCCATGAAGCAATTAAAATAGGTATGTTATCATTAATAGGGACCATTATGGGATGTATATAATATTTGGACTTTGATCAATGATATCGGCCGCCCGACCGGATACACACAGTGTTGAAGCCTGGAGCAGGGTCTGACCGTTTGACCTACATTTCATTTTGTTAAAAGGATTCGAATCAAAATCCATTTGTGTGGACGAAATTTGTATTATCACTATCACCCGGCGTATTATGATAAGGTATTCCCCACTGTCATCAGGTGTATCATGATAAGGTACCCCCACTGTCATCAGGTGTATCATGATAAGGTAACCCCACTGTCACCAGGTGTATCATGATAAGGTACCCCCACTGTCATCAGGTGTATCATGATAAGGTAACCCCACTGTCACCAGGTGTATCATGATAAGGTACCCCCACTGTCATCAGGTGTATCATGATAAGGTAACCCCACTGTCACCAGGTGTATCATGATAAGGTATCCCCACTGTCATCAGGTGTATCATGATAAGGTAACCCCACTGTCACCAGGTGTATCATGATAAGGTATTCCCCACTGTCACCAGGTGTATCATGATAAGGTAACCCCACTGTCACCAGGTGTATCATGATAAGGTATCCCCACTGTCATCAGGTGTATCATGATAAGGTAATCCCACTGTCACCAGGTGTATCATGATAAGGTATTCCCCACTGTCACCAGGTGTATCATAATAAGGTGTCCCCCACTGTCACCAGGTGTATAATGATAAGGTATCCCCACTGTCACCAGGTGTATCATAATAAGGTGTCCCCCACTGTCACCAGGTGTATCATGATAAGGTATCTCCTACTGATACCAGGTGTATCATTATAAGGTATCCACACTGTCACCATGTGTATCATAATAAGGTATCCACACTGTCACCTGGTGTATCATAATAAGGTACCCCCACTGTCACCAGGTGTACCATGATAAGGTATTCCCCACTGTCACCAGGTGTATCATAATAAGGTGTCCCCCACTGTCACCAGGTGTATAATGATAAGGTATCCCCACTGTCACCAGGTGTATCATAATAAGGTATTCCCACTGTCACCATGTGTATCATGATAAGGTATCCCCCACTGTCACCAGGTGTATCATGATAAGGTAACCCCACTGTCACCAGGTGTATCATGATAAGGTAACAGCACTGTCACCAGGTGTATCATGATAAGGTATCCCTACCGCACCAGGTGTATCATGATAAGGTATTCCCCACTGTCACCAGGTGTATCATAATAAGGTGTCCCCCACTGTCACCAGGTGTATCATGATAAGGTATCCCTACCGCACCAGGTGTATCATGATAAGGTATTCCCCACTGTCACCAGGTGTATCATGATAAGGTAACAGCACTGTCACCAGGTGTATCATGATAAGGTATCCACACTGTCACCTGGTGTATCATGATAAGGTATCCCCACTGTCACCAGATGTATCATGATAAGGTATCCCCACTGTCACCAGGTGTATCATAATAAGGTGTCCCCCACTGTCACCAGGTGTATCACGATAAGGTATCCCCACTGTCACCAGGTGTATCATGAAAAGGAAACCCACTGTCACCAGGTGTATCATGATAAAGTATCTCCTACTTACACGAGGTGTATCATTATAAGGTATCCACACTGTCATCATGTGTATCATAATAAGGTATCCACACTGTCACCTGGTGTATCATGATAAGGTATCCCCACTGTCACCAGGTTATCATGATAAGGTATCCCCATTGTCACCAGATGTATCATGATAAGGTATCCCCACTGTCACCAGGTGTATCATGATAAGGTATCTCCTACTTACACCAGGTGTATCATTATAAGGTATCCACACTGTCATCATGTGTATCATAATAAGGTATCCACACTGTCACCTGGTGTATCATAATAAGGTACCCCCACTGTCACCAGGTGTACCATGATAAGGTATTCCCCACTGTCACAAGGTGTATCATAATAAGGTATCCCCCACTGTCACCAGGTGTATCATGATAAGGTATTTTCACTGTCACCAGGTGTATCATGATAAGGTATCCCAACTGTCACCAGGTGTATCATGATAAGGTATCCCTACCGCACCAGGTGTATCATGATAAGGTATTCCCCACTGTCACCAGGTGTATCATGATGAGGTATCCCCACTGTCACCAGGTGTATCATGATAAGGTCCCCCCACTGTCACCAGGTGTATCATGATAAGATATTCCCCACTGTCACCAGGTGTATCATGATAAGGTATTCCCCACTGTCACCAGGTGTATCATGATAAGGTATCCCCCACTGTCACCAGGTGTATCATAATAAGGTCCCCCCACTGTCACCAAGTGTATCATGATAAGATATTTCCCACTGTCACCAGGTGTATCATGATAAGGTATTCCCCACTGTCACCAGGTGTATCATAATATGGTCCCCCCACTGTCACCAGGTGTATCATGATAAGATATTCCCCACTGTCACCAGGAGTATCATGATAAGGTATCCCCACTGTCACCTGGTGTATCATGATAAGGTATCCCCACTGTCACCAGGTGTATCATAATAAGGTATTCCCCACTGTCACCAGGAGTATCATGATAAGGTATCCCCCACTGTCACCAGGTGTATCATGATAAGGTATCCCCACTGCCACCAGGTGTATCATAATAAGATACCCCCACTGTCACCAGGTGTATCATAATAAGGTTTTCCCACTGTCACCAGGTGTATCATAATAAGGTACCCCCACTGTCACCAGGTGTATCATAAATAAGGTATCCCCACTGTCACCAGGTGTATCATAATAAGGTATCCCCACTGTCACCAGGTGTATCATGAAAAGGAAACCTCCATCGGAAGATTCCGTGTCAAGTTCTTTATATAATGCAAAGATAAATAATAAGTCTTTTTTGTGAATAGCAGTTGTCAATGGCGGGGGATTCCCATTTTCTCCTCCAAATAGTCCTTAGTGTTTTAAAGACCTGAAAACTGTTAAAGTTTCACACCTTTAGATAGGAGATTGATTTCGGATTATTTAGGCTGCTCTGTATTAGGACTACCAGTCGGTTTATTATCGGTTATTCGAAAGCATGTGTATACTTTATACAAATGTAACTTTATCGAGTTTTCTTTATCGATTTCGTTTCTACCTGCAGCATATACTGTTAATCAAACACACACCGGAAGCGTGACCTATCTACCTATAGAAATCATCAGAAGGGGAAAGAAAGGGTACAAGAAGCGCGAGCGTTGTCAGGGTGACGGATCCTAACTTCATTCAAACTCATGGTGTCCAACCGTATTCATTGAGCGTTACAGTGTAGGCACCGGGAATAGTGGTATTGATCTGGTACCGGGAACACCGTCATCTAAATGCTATCACAATCGGAAACAACTTGGGCTTTCCGTAGTTCTTCAGAGAATTTCCGGAGAGTTCTGTTAGAGCATTAGTGCTCCTTCGACTAACCTCGTCTGATCCCGGTACCTTCATCAATACAATAATCATTCGGGAACCGTCGACACTTTCCGTAAACGAGTATGGAAAGTGCCGACGGTTCCCGATTGTACAATTATAGGTACGGAATCTGCCGAGATGTGACGAGTGCATTAGTGTTCGGTATTTGTAATCGCTCGGCTGTGGTACTCGGTATTTAGATGTAATTGAACTGCTTTAATAGTCGGTATTTAGGATTAATCTTCATATTTTAGAAGCTATTCTAGAGGAAATCACTTGCCTCTTCATACTCTAGCAGCAGAATTTAATCGAGAACTGTCGGCACTTTCCGTAAATGAGTTTTCTCGTTTAAGGAAAGTTCCGACGGTTCCCGATTGTTCAGTGCTAGACTTGATTATTATGTGAACCTACCTTGGTATGATTTCTTTCGGCTATGCTGCGATCTTTGATGCGTAATATCTACCCAGAGTTGTCGCTCTTTGATACTTAAACTCTACCCAGAGTTGTCGCTCTTTGACACTTAATCTCTACCCAGAGTTGTCGCTCTTTGATACTTAATCTCTACCCAGAGTTGTCGCTCTTTGATACTTAATCTCTATCCATAGTTGTTACTCTTTGCTACTTAATCTCTACCCAGAGTTGTCGCTCTTTGATACTTAATCTCTACCCAGAGTTGTCGCTCTTTGATACTTAATATATACCCGGAGTTGTTTGCTCTTTGATACTTAATCTCTACCCAGAGTTGTTTGCTCTTTCATACTTAATATATACACAGAGTTGTCGCTCTTTGATACTTAATCTCTACCCAGAGTTGTCGCTCTTTGATACTTAATCTCTACCCAGAGTTGTCGCTCCTTACACTCACTTACACCTCTGCAAATGGCTTAATGTTAAGAATCTTGGCAAAGTCAAGAAAATCTATTTTTCGCTAAAGCAGCAACGTCTTTCAACAATGTTTTACATGTTCAATTAATTAAAAAACTTCATTTCTCCTAGATATGTCACCAAATGACTTTTTGAAACATATATTGATAATATTTGTATAGACGATTGTACCACGGCTTGATATCTACGTTAACAAAACCATCGCCTTTGTAATTAGTTATACGTTCGCCAAACAAGGGAAACACAAAATCTATGGGGCTAAACAGGATAATACAAAAAATCGAATCGAAAAAATATGGCAGCGGCTTGTAATCTCCCTGACCAAGCCCGTCTCCTGCCCTTACCAAACTAGAACTGTTGAATAATGCAAATGTCTTGTTTTATAAAGCATGACGTTATCTTCCAGATGTTTACAAAAATCATTGACTAAATCCTTTCCATTTTTTTTAACAGAAAGCCATTGATGAGGCGATAGTTACTGCTGCGCCACGATGAGTAAGGAAGGGGAGGTTATCCCCCTGGCGGGCCCGGGAAGTAAAATCATCGCCCTGGCGCCCCCTCTACGGAAACACTTCCCTCGGGAGGGAAAAGCAGTGATCGTCGACTTTTCTACAAACAGTCTTAAACAACTGCCCATCGAGATATGGAAATGTGAAGAAATTATGCTCAACGCCATAAGATTTCAAGCAGAGAACAACCGCCTTAAAAAGCTTCCGAAGACCATTTCTGACCTTGAAGTATTAACATTTATAGACTTGCGAAATAACGCACTCACAGCCATTCCCGGTACGATCTTTAAGATAAAAACTCTTGAGATCCTAGATTTGACCAACAATGTCATTAAAAGCCTTCCGGCCACCATCAACAAGGCACTATCCCTGCACACGCTCCACGCGTCAAACAACAAGATCAAAGCTCTACCCAAGACCATCAACAAATGTCCTGCCCTGACCCACCTTGACGTTTCCTACAATGTTATCCGCTCCATCAAGAAGACCGTGTACGAGCTTGGTGCTCACATCATACTCAAGGAAAACAAACTAGTGGATCTTCCTGACGCGAGCGTTAAGTCTCCGGCCCTCAAGTCCCTGGACGTTTCTTGCAATCAGATATCCGCGCTCCCTGCCAACATCCACATGGTAACGACTCTCACGTGGCTTGACCTGTCGCACAATGAGCTGCCGGACGTCCCTCGCGAGATGGGCTTCCTCAAATACCTTAGCTTCTTGGATATTTCGCACAACAAGATCGTATCTTTACCGGAAGAGATGGTGAGCCTACAGTATGCTCTGACGACTTTTAAGGCATCTCATAACGAGATCCGGAATCTACCCGAGGACATTCATAAGCTACAAAGGCTGACAATCCTTGAGATGGCGGACAATCAGCTGGAGAACCTACCGCCGAAGTTTTATGACCTCAAAGGTCTAAAGACCTTGGATTTATCGGGCAACAAGCTTGCCAACGCTGCCGGTATCACTAAGCTGAAATCGGCGGAAACAGTAAAGGTGGCGCGCAATGCCTTGACGACACTCCCCGAGGACCTTCCCAGCATGAAATGTCTGGTCACACTAGACGTGTCAGGAAACCATCTTAAATTGTTGCCGGAGAACATCTGCCGCGTTTCGTCGCTGAAAGACCTGTTGGCGGGGGATAATAAAATAAGCGCCATCCCAGAGTCCCTTGGCGACAACCAGCTCCTCAGGGATGTTGACCTCAGCAGGAATCGGATTCAGGGGCTCCCACAGGACCTCAAAAAGTTGCGGAGCCTGGAAAGTCTAAAAATAGGAAATAATCAGATTTCGGCCTTACCAAAGACATTGGACGTTCTCAAATTTCTCCGTACGTTAGATGTCTGTGGAAACTCGCTTACTGAAATACAACTGCCAAAAGCTATCACCCATCTGAACATTTCACAAAACCCTGTGTTTTTACCAGCACAGGATCCTAAATCGGTGCTCGTGCAGCTGGGAGAGAGGGCATACGCCAAACAGATGACGTTTCTCGACCTGTCCAATCTTAAGCTTGAGGAAGTTCCCCCTAGTATTGGTCACATGAAGCTGCTTCGAACCCTCAAGATAGCTCACAATCTCCTCAAAGGTATCCCCGAGTTTCTGTGTCGTCTGCGCTGCCTTGAGGAGTTTGATCTGTGTAATAACGAGATATCCGAGGTCCCAAACGCCATTAAGAACTTGCAGAATCTACGGCGTTTGGACGTATCTCAGAACAAGATTGGCGAGTTTCCCGCCGGGTTGACTATGCTCCATCAACTGGAGTTTCTCAATATATGTTACAACAATATAGTCAGTCTTCCCGAAGACTTCGGCGAGCTGCATAAACTCATCTATTTAGACCTGTCGAACAACGAGCTGATGGGACTTCCGGAGGACCGCTGGGACATCCTAGCGTCCATGACAGAGCTGAATGTTAACAAGAACCATATCAACACAATGCCTTTGGACCTGCCTTATTTGTACCGAATCCGGATACTGAGAGTGGCGGCAAACGACCTCACCAGCATTCCAAACGACGTAGGCAAGATGGCGAGCCTCGAGGTCCTAGACGTCTCAGACAATCTGCTGGAGGCTATCCCAGAAAGCATCTGTAAGTTACCTGTACTCGCTGAACTCAATATATCTGACAATAAGCTGAAGGCTTTGCCCCAGCGGTTGGAGAGCCTCAAGCAGCGATGTACAGTAAGCGCTGGTGACCAGTCGGCGTACAAAGCGCGGGAACCTCCAGACATGCTCCAATCGGGGGAGGTTCAGACAGATGACGAAGGACCCAAGAAAAATGCTATCAAGTCAGACGACTAACTAACAAACGATGTGACGAATTTGAATTGGACAACCAGACAGACGGACAGATCGGTTTTTATTAGAAACATTCAAAACACGTGCCAAGATATTGTGACATCTTCGTCATTAATAATTATTCAAGATGTTAATTTTATGTACAAGCGATGACGACGACAACCACGATGTCACCACGAAATCACATCCAAGTGATGACGCACTCGACCACGTGACCTCCTTTGAATTGTTACCGGAGTGACACAATGATTATTATTTTACCTCATCTACATAATCAGCGTATCTGATCGGATTACATTGACCACATAGCGGGGAAACGAATCATTGTGTCGGCCTTACGCGCTCGAGTTTCTCCCTGCAGTAATTTTTCCGTTATTCCGATACTGTCTAGAAATATGTGCAAGGGCCAACACAACCGAGTTCCGAATGACTGAAGCAGACGGCAACAAGTACACGTCAACCTGGTCATCTTAACTGTTGTTATTGTTTTATTTAGGCATAATAAATTATTATTTTCCCTGTGGTAGGGAAACACGATTGTTTGTTTCACCTCGATTAATCATGTTTCACTAAGAATCGTTTTTCAATACAACGTGGACACAAATGTACGACAGCAACGAAATGTGATACAAATTGTCGTTATACACGGGGTAAAGCACCGTGTTTGATAAGTGACCTTGTCTGAGCTATGTTAATTCCACTTAGTGGCGCATCGGGAAGGTTTGTGGCGCTCTTGACTTTAAAACCGCACTTGTAGATCCACATAACACGTAGCTCGCACCTAATCCTGGTTACGGGTTCACACTTTCCTTCCTGGATGACGGGCGAATTTTGTACACACGTATACGACTTCATAAAGTTGCATATTTCATATTATTCATATGCTTATCATTTTACCCAATCAAAATTATTTTATTGTTTCCGTATCAAACAACCGTTCGGTTCAGTAACCGGAACTTCCCGGAAACACCCGAGATAGATAAATATTTATTCAATCATTATTATACGTATCTATATACCGTTTGCGTTCGCCTTATACAGTTTAATTATCTTTACAATTTTATTTTTACATTGATCTTTAATTCTTTTGTAAATCAATCAAAACCTTTTACATCCGCCTTACTACAATATAACGCTCTAACTTATCATTTCTTAAAGGCAAGAAAATCATGATCAGTCATGACGTTACTTCCTCTAAAACTGACACGCACTGGTGACGGCTAAAATGTCTTGCGCCAAACGATACGATCAGTTTGAGTCGAGTTGCTGTAACGTTCTCTACGTCCGAAAGCCCGTCAGGACTGCGTTTCTTTTTTGTTTTAATAAATCTTAAAATAATGAAAGCGTGTTGTTTGTTTATATTACAACCATGGACATCTCTTCCACAGTGGAAAGACTCGTGACTTTGGTCGAACGGAAATCTCACATGATGCATGGTTTGAGATTTAAGATAATCGATTACAACCAGCTTTGTATGCACTACGAGTTCTTTCCTTATATTATACCACGGAATTAGATTGTTATCTAAGTCCGTGATGATACTATATTTTTCATGTTTAGATCCTTTTATGCCATGAATTATTCAACTGGGAAATTCTACTCAAATGTAAACGCATTAAAATTGTACTAAGTTGCATTTTCATATATATGCCAAAAAAAGGTGGTACATTCGACCACTAGGTCGCCCAAACACGAGTTTTAATTGCTTAAGGATGGAATAGTCTTTTTCCACTAGCTTACCATGTCCAATTAGTAGCGTACGAATTTCTAAAACGAGCAGTGAACACAATGTACTTGTGGTCAAAATCAACAAAAAGGGGAGACATCAAAGACGCCTAAATATCACAAATCTATGAAGACACATTTAATGTGGTTGAAATCTACACTCGGGGAACCGTCGACACTTGCCGTAAATGATAAGTATTGATGGTTTTCGATTGTACTTTTTTTTTATAATTGCGTCGAACTACTAGACGGTTAATTCTCCCGCGTTTCAAGTATAATTGAATCAAACGTAAATAAAAACAAACACAAAATCTGGGTTTAACAATGTAATGATCTCTATGGCAACTATACGATTTAGTATACGTAATATATATATAATATATAGGACATTGATAATATATATTGAGGTAATCAGACACTCTAGAAACAACGCCATCCGAGTGAAGGAGGTCGGGGTATTGACAGACCGCTCAGCATACACGTCACTACAGAACTCTCACGTCACTACAGGACACGGATACTTTAGAACATTTATAAACCGAATACCTTATTTTCCGGACAAATTACATTCAGTGTAAACTATTTTTAAAGATTATCATTTCCTTTTGATTACTCACAAAATATTTTAAAGTAGAAATTTCCATTATTTTTATCAAAACAAGGACTGGCGTTTCCAGGCCAGTTTAATGGGTGTTTAACCAAAGATGTATAATTTGTTGGTTTACAGGTCTTTGGGTTTTCTCCGGAAAAGAAAGCGTTTCCCAATGTTTAGGTTTTCGTTCATTGTATATATATAAACATGTGAAGGTAAGCTGAACTGAAATATGTATCATAAAAAAAATCCCCAGATAATTACAGAAAAAATCTATAAAAGTGTGAATTTCTTTTTTGTTTCTTTTTTGTTCGTTTGTAACAATAACCCGCATCTCTTGTCTTGTGTACCAGAGGGGCCGTCAACACACCGCTGGTCCTACACCCCGGACCATACCCCAACCTGCATACCCCAACCTGCAGCCCCGGGATCGGGACACAGTTGTTCATTTACATAAAGACCACTCCTTCTCCTGCATCCCCGGGGGGAGACCATTCAAAATACCAACACGGCACTGTCGTCGTCCTATTCTCGTGCAATAACAAGGAGACAAGATTGGATTATCTATATCTGCTGTATATTACTGCAACCAGTGGCAGCTTGTGGTTTCATTTTACTTATTCTCTTGAAAATATTCCTCCCCAATTCATTTTTTTTTTTTTTTTTTTTTTTTTTNGTTTCAAATTTACTTCGTCAATGTTTTTAAACTAAACCAATGGGGATCACTCTCTACCGGCGACATCTATTTTAGACTTTTCCCACACTGTAAAGCCCAGTCCGCTGGTCTCCACGAGCTTCTGGAAATGACACGTACGTGTTGGTACCCCGGGGGAAGGGGTGTAAAGGGGTGTGGTGTTTCACAAAATACGGGTATTGCGTGGAACGCCCTTTTGTCGTCACAGACACTAGGTCTACTGATGATGTACACAATTGCCTCCGTATGATTTTGTTACCAGTTACATAAAGGTTTTCGTTGTCATTGTTACCATGGTGAGAGATGCAGGTCACATACAATCTCTCAACACCTACACTAACTACACAAATCACGAGTGATCTCCCTTCACCTCAGCCTCAGGAACCCGTCTGCTCAGGATTACCTCTAAAACATCTTCATGAGTAACTCATTCATCCCTGAAATTTCACGATGAGCTATTCCAATGAGTTCAAATGTGTCTTAAGGGGTCAATGAGTTAATGATTTTTTTTCTCTTATCAATCGTTTTCATAATCAATGGCTATATTGATCGAACAATTTCATTTTGATGATCAATCATTTGTTTAATTTTCACGAATATAATCCCGTGTTTAAATCAAGATATCTGTCGATCATCCCCCGACTGAGCAGACGAGAGATCACGTGGGATTGTTCTATACACACCGGCGTCCACAAGTGAAAAATGTTAAGAGTAAATGTTACAATACAAGCTAAATGTAAATACTTGTTTAAAAAATATCAATACACATGCGATCTACCAGTCCGCCTGAGGCGGCCACTCCCGGCCTCGTCATCAGTCACACACATACATATATATATAGTACCTGTTGGGCGCGTGAAACACTTGTTTTGCATCTCCCTGGATTAATCGGACTTCTGGGAAGTCTACTCGCGACGCGCCCTCCCTCCCTTCCCCCATTGCATACATAATTATCTCCTCCGAGAGGCTCCCTTAACTGGTAAAACTAACTAAGCAACATGGTAGGCAGTCACAACACAGCCCAGCCATCAGCACAAATAGTCGCCATCTTCCCTTGCCAAGATTTACGATGCAGTACGATCCATAGGGACCTGAGCATTTTTTACAGCTACATTTGGACCTAAACTAAGGTGTTCAGAGTAATTTTACATGTTTTGGAGGTTAAGATTGACTTTCGGGTAAATGGAGGTTAAGATTGACTTTCGGGTAAAAACGACACCCCCAATGTGCTCTTCACTCTCTGCAGAGAGCATAACCGAGGGTAACCCCTGGAGTATCGAGGATGAGTTTTCGCCCTAACATTAAAGTGGGGTATCTTCCGGTCCGAACAACACAGGCACACAGCAGCTGTGAGCATGCATCTTACTGTTATCTTCTGAAGTAGAATCCTCTGCACTCTTGATTTAAGATTGCACAAGAGACGGTTCTGCAAGGACTGGGCTGTGTTGCAACATAAATACATTAAGTATGATACAGTATGGGCTAGACATGAGAAAAAACAGTAAAAATGTCACATCGTTTTGATGACGAACTGACTAGCACTCCTCACCAAAGCTCCATATCTTAATTCTCTCACACTGGTTAGTCCATTCTCACCCACTCATTTTGATTTGAGTAATGTTCTGTACAAGGCTTCCAAAAAGTACCCTATTTCACCTGCCCGCCCGAGAGACGGGGAGAAAGGTTTGCTTGGTGCGACCCTACACATATAGACAGCTAGGTTTCCTCCTGACAAGGGGTCTCGCAGAAGGAGCAAATGGACTGTTCTGGTCAGTAATCAGCAACGTGAGAAGTGATCCCGGTCTATAGAAGGGGCAAATAGTTACTGGACTTGTCAAAGACTAAATGGATTATACTGGACAACAGGAAGTGATCCCGGTCTTACAGAAGGGGCAAATAGTTACTGGACTTGTCAAAGACTAAATGGGTTATACAGGACAACAGGAAGTGATCCCGGTCTTACAGAAGGGGCAAATAGATACTGGACTTGTCAAAGACTCAATTTCAAAGAAGATGTGAAGACAGAAAAGGGGGTATAGTACTTATAGAAGGAGTAAATGGATGCTTGACATATGAAAAACTGGAGATATTGTGAAAAGGATCTTCAGCTAAGAAAAGGACAATTTAAAAGTTTGCTCTTGTAAACAAGGAGTATAATTTGGCTTTAAGATGTAAGCTCATATTTGAAGACAGGCCAACACTTTCTGGACACAGCCCTGAGCATGGCAGGTGGAATTTGGTAACGACACTGGCTGTTTAGCCAGCCTCCTCTCATCTAGCCAGCAATATCGTCATGGGGATTGATATGAGAAGATTTTAATGATATTCAAAAAGACATAAAATTTATGAAAAATTTGAAAATCACACGTTGGAAAGCTGAAGTAAGATTAGCTTTCATTTGAACACGAACAACACCAAGATTACAGCGAGCACATTTACATAGATCCATGAGAGCTGTGGGGTACAGGGACCAGATGGTATATGATGTAGTGTTACCATGTGGTGCCCGTCCACAGCAGTAAAACATACTGATGATCATGATCGTCACCAGGATGTGGAGAAATCTCTGCCGGACACTGTTACTTCCGTACTAGCCAATCAAGATTGCCGGCGGCACATAGACTGTGGACATTGGTTCAGGGTTGTCTGACAACACTGACAAGTTAAGATGGGAGTCATATAACATTTTCCATTTTGTAAAATGGCATAAAATGATTCTTCCTTTTCTAAATTTCTTACAGATGCAATGCTATTTTGATTGCTTTTGTAGTTACCATGGAAACTGGGATCATTCCCAGTATGTGTTACCAAGGAAACCAGTATCATCCCAGAGGTTGTGGAAAAAGCCACAGTGGGATTTCAAGATTGATGAATACATGTCTAATATAACAAATTTATGATTTCATGATAGAAATCTAACACAATTTGAAGAATATTGCTTGTTTTTTGTTAAAATTTACATTTTCAGGTTGCTTATTCCATCCCAAACTCATTGTCCAACTTTTTATGACACAAACATTAAATATATGAAGGCAATTTGACAATTAGGAGGTAGATTCTGCTGTATAACATGTAAACAGCATCCAAAATATTACAAGTTTGATACTTTCATCTAACAGATAACCACGTGAGGCCTACAGGGAAGGACCTCACACTTTACATCAGACACACTTTCAAGGGATTCCATTCTACTGTCTGTGCCACAATGTAACTGCTTCATTGGTCGGGGGCAAGGGTCGGGTCTGTATTATTCAATTATAGACTTTAGCTGAGGTTGATACCTGGATTTATTAACACGAGAAAAGATACATTAAAAGATACATTAACCGAG